CCTAGAATCTCTCTGATGTTGCCGCCCAGTATCCCTCGTCTTTGAACGTCTGTCACCTAACGATGACCTTGTGCAGCAGATGGATAATTAAATGCTAATTGGGTTTGAAAATGTGTTAGAAAATAATGGCACTCCAGCAACAAAAAACAAGCAGTTTTCGAACAGAGCTCACAAATTCAGAATAAATTGTCATTAGTCAAGCGTTTATTTTCTAAATTTTCAATAACGGAAGATTATTATCAACTTGCATGCTGTAAACAATAAAGGTACTATGGTATAAAAATCGAACAAGCCAAAAGTTATTCACATAAATTGTGAGACTCCATTCGTTTTTCGCCCCTTCCCCGGAGGATTACTCCCATTATGGCCTAGCAGGGGGTCCAGTCAGGGTCAATAAGGGCAAAAGCTAAAACGTTAAAAAATTACCCTCAAATGAGAGTGTTTTTTGACAGTAACCCTCAAAAGGTAGCCAAAGGACAGAAATTACATCATTGGTGGCATCCATTTCTTTGTACGCGCCTGGTCTTTGACAAATATCTTCGTCATTGACTGTTGTTGATTCGGGAAAGATAAAAACTTGTTCATTGTTTTTAATAAATCGCAAGCTAAACTAAGCCGTTGTGTTATTATCAAAAGTGGGCCATTCGGTAAGACCCTCAAATCGACTGTCAGGCCCTAATGGGAGTACTCCTCCCTGGGTTTTTCCGCAACACAGCAATGTTGTTCCTGTGATTTGAGGAAAATGAGTAGGTTGATATTGGATGAAAACAACGTTGTTCTGTGTAGAGCAAGGCCCAGGGACGAAAACAAGTCGCTAATTTGGGGGGTCGTAGAATGATGAAAATTCCAACTTTACTTGAGTATTTTTTTTTCGACATTTGTATCTACTGTACCTACAGAATCAATATTTGGAAATATTCCTAATTCCAGATTTCTAGTGTCTTTATTATAACCATCATTTTACTCATATTAATTAGCCTGAAGTATAAAAACACTAAAGACGATAAAGTAAAAATCTGAGTTTGGATTAATGTAACACGAGCATTTAAACTGGTCGTAGTAAGTAAAGCAACATCCAAGCATAACCAGTATTATATATATTTAATGATAAAAAATGATATCCCTTAAAGTCAATTAGCAGTGATTCTTCTTTTTCTATTTTGCCATTTTTTAAAGCTAATTTGCTGCAGATCAATTTTCTCAAAAATATCTCTTTTACGATATAAAAGCATCAAGGAATTGAGTCTTTCATCTTTGTTTTTGACTTAAGGAAGTTTTAACAGCTTTCAGAGGGTCAAATGTCCTTTCGATTTTCACAAATGGAATGGGTGATTCGAGTGCATATGCCCGATTCGTAAGATGAAACACTCTTCTTTGATCAAATTCTTCCGCAGCAGCTTCTGTAATGTTTTCCGCCTTCACAGCAGCATTATCGTAGCAACTTATGATAAGACGTTTACAGATAGCAGGGACAGCGTAGCATACATTCGTTTTTTAGAAGAAACGTTGTACATTTCTAGTACTGAAAGATTCTTAATTTTTCATTCAACTAACTTTCTACTTGTAGTTTCTTAAAAAGTTCCCACTTTAAATTTTTCTGATCAGTACAGGATGTTATCTTTTCAAAACTGTAGGCTCAGTACTGATTGTAACGTTTCAATTTTCTCATCCGAAAATTCACCTTGCCCGTCAAAAATAATGTAAATCAACTAAAATGCCGTCAAAAAGAAATAAACGGTGTTGGTGCGATTTAAGATCCAGTGGATACAGGGCTTCACGATAGAAAACGATTACTGGATTGGTGGTCTGCTCCACCCTGTCAATTTTAATTAGGTAAATGTATCTACATTCAAAATCCCAAGATTCCTAACATATGAAATTCACAAGTTTGATCTTAAAAAAACAGGTCCAAAGGGTCTGGCGTTCGAGTCCTTGACAATCCAGTCCTCTGCACTTCCAGGCGTAGCAATAAAAAGGCGTGGTTATATCGAGAGGAAGGATCAGGATTTATTGATGTCTACCTTTGGATGCTAGAGAGAAACAACTTCAAATCAACTGTAAAGAACTGAACAGCTAAAGCTTTTTTTTGTTTCTCTTGTTCCCAAAGTAGAGAAGCACCATTGGCTTTTATTGTAGGGACGCAAAGAGCACCGTTAAAGAACAATATGAAACTTTGTGGCAGGAATCCAAATGTGTTTACGTACAACGGCGCAACATGAACTCGCACATCAAAATAATCCTGGCTGGGCTACCGAGCCCTCCATGAACCACATTATTGTCGAATGCCCCCTAAAAAGCAGTCTGAAAAAATCCCCTTTTGAATGTGTGCCCCCTCCCTCAAATGCTGTATGTAACAATTCCAATGTCCTTTCATATGTCATCCATTCGCTGCCACTTGTAAGTCACATGTCGTTTAACTAAATTTGATATATAAGGCACAATAATGTAGGAGTGCGTTCGCTGAGTGAAATTGAAGATTGTAAGGAGGGTTTTTGGTGATTTTATGACAAATAGAAATTTCCATTTGTTTAGCCTTAGATAGACAGATGACTGTTTACTTTGAAGCTTAGATAGAGCTGAGTTTCCTAATGCAGCCTTTCCACTAGCCCGGGTTAAAGCATATCCAGGTTAAAAGTTTTCCGTTTCTGCGTCGAGTTCCCACTAACCCACTGTAGCAAATCTTCCGCTGGTTCTAATCTACTACTGTGCAGAAACACAACAATCAAGAGAGGTCATCTCTATAATTCTTTTCACTTATCTTAAATTCTAACACGTCTAAACATCATACCATCTCAAATCCAACTAACTCAATACTCGACAAAACCTGTAGTATAATTAAAATTTGTTAATAATCATCACAATCAATACGCGTAAGTGCATTGTGCTTAATTAATCTCTAACGTAAAATGATGTTTCCCCTGTCTTTTTGTTATTGTCAAAAGTGCAAAAGCATATAACATAAATTACTAGGCAACCAAACTGAAAGACACAAAAAACAAACAATATTTAAAGTTAATACAACGCGCTCTTTCGCGCACCCACTTGAAAAACGGAAAAGTTTGAAAACGTGTCTCAGAGTGGTTCAATTTTAAGCCGGGTATTTTTTTCCCCATCTGCAAGTTAATGGAAACGCCGAAACCCGGATAACTTCTGATCTACTTGCAACAACAGCAACGTTTGAGAATTGAGATGGTGCCAAAAATCAAAAACCAAAGTACTCAATGTCGATGTTGCTTCCATTGGCCTACAATGATAGAAATTGAAGGATTATTGATACAAATACTGATTTCTCTTACAACTTTTCACCCCGAATGAATTTAACCCGACTTAGTGGGAACGGATCAAAAACGGATTAAAAACGGGTCGATGCTGCATGCTATGCTGTGCAAAACTATTTAAAAACAAATCATTTTCCTCCCCTTCCGAATATGCACTTTTGCCTGCTTCCCTGTGTTCACGTGTGGTGTGTGCTCTGTGGAGGGCCAATGGTTGGTAGTGGCGGCGTGTGGGGTGGGTGGGTTATGTTGCAGGGTTATCGGGTCGGAGCTCCGGGGAGTGGGGGGTTGTTCGGGTGGTGGTTTTACCTGGGGATAAAGATTTGTGTGGTGTAGCAGGTGTGGGTTTCGGCGGTGGGAGCGTTAAC